ATTGCTCTTCAAAATACTTCTTTTATATTAAAGTCCTTACAAATAATTTACCTACTATGCAAAATCTTAAAATCCGATATCCTAATCTCTATACAACAGATGGCTGTTGTAAATGTTCTGCAATAGAAAACACTCTTTATATACTTCTATGTTCAAAAAATAACGAAGATATTTGACAATCACTTCTTAATATAACCTCAAACACATTAAATCAGCTTGAAATTACGTCTACTCCATCAATTACAATACTTAATACTCTTTTACAAGCTATATTCGATTTTATAAATCCTCAATATAATTTTCTACTCCCTACTATTCACTCAAAACCAATTTATCATTCTCTTAAAACTCTACTAAAAAAACAAACCGAATCGTTTGCAATCAATCTTTCAAACAATTTCTTTAAATGATTCTATCATGAAATATGGCCTCAATGAAATATACATCAACACCAATGGAAATTGGCCTGAAATATTACTAATAAAACTAAACGTACCAAATTTTCTCTGTCACTTATTACCAATCGATCAAGCACAGAAACATCTACTACTCAACTACCAAATTCACGCTCTACCATTGAAAAATAGTATTTGCAAGGTTTCTCTCTAACAACATGCCTTGTATAATATTATGATTAATGCTTTAGGGTTTTCTCCAACCTATCCTAGCTAGACTTATTTTATTCATTTAAATTAATAATAGCACTAAAATAGGAAATAGGAGGTGTAATGTCACATTGGGTGCTCTGTAGCACAAGTGTAGTTAGAAATCTTTAACCATAGAAATTCTTTTTCTAATCAACTTTCTTAAAATCTGCTAGTTCAAGTTGAAGGGTTTTGGTAGCCAGGTTATAAATAAATAGTTTATCTGTCTCCTTACCTGGATTTGTAGACTATAAAATAACTTTCAATCTTCAGACTAACTGTAATAAAGTTTTTACTATGACATTATATTAATAAAAAAAAAAAAAAAAAAGTTATTAAGTTCAGATTTTTTAAAAGGTTATTTTACCTATAAATTTATATATGAATTTGTACTAATTTAGATACATTTTTCTACACAAATAACAGACAAATTTGTACTATATTTTTTTTAAAACTATAGTTCTAAACTAGCTCTACACTGTAACAAAACTAGTTTTTTAATAACCTATATTAATTATTAATAAAAATTAATTTAAAATTTTATTAAAAGTTATTAAAAAACTGGTTCTGTTACAGTGTAGAGTTAGTCTAAAACTATAGTTTAAAAAAAGAAAAAAAAATACAAAATTAATGATTATTATATATGACTTTAAGTTTTAATTAATTAGTTTATTGAATATCCTAGTAAGACTTTGCTCTTATCTTTATTAAACTTAATAAAAACTTTTTACATAATTGAAAAAGGTTTTATATTTTTAAACCTAGTACTAAGAATAAAAACTTAGATATATAACTACGAGAACCTAATACCTAAGTAAAACCTAAACCTAAACTAGTTGATTTCATGTTGAATTATTTCAATAATTTGATATAAAATTAACCAAAAATTTAACTATAAATATTTTTTAAAATATTAAAATGCTCTAAAACTTTATAATAATAATATAAATACTGTATAAGAGATATAATTTGTAATAATAACTACAGTACATCTATGAGGTTAACAAAATTTATTTAATAGCTTTCTAATAATGTTAGTGTTTCAAATCAGCCGGCTTGCACCCACTATGACTTAAATATAAGAGTGTGGCAAATAAACAGCAGCAAGCCGGACACTAAATAAGGTTTTCATTAAACTCCTAAACGTTCTTCTAAAATTGTTTTTGTTAAAACACCACATCACACCTTTGACGAGTTGCCTAAAGATAAAACTTAAATTGTTCAGTTCGAGTACGTGATAGCATTTTCACTCCGTGACACAATACTTATATATTCTATGTTTCTTATATATTTTAAAAATAAGGTTTTGCAATATTGGCATAATACTGTATATATATACTTTTATTTAAAATTTTTTTTTACTTTATCTTAAGCAGAATTTACAAATAAAAAATTGTAGAAAACCCGTCGATAAGTTTTTTTTTGATGCTGGTGCTGACGTCAATAACTTATCAAATTGAGCTACATGTAATTTGTCAGGAATTAAAAATAGCTGTAAATGATTTCCTATGATTCCCTGTGGACCCAATTCAGATTGCGAAACACTAACGCTAATCAGTAGCTATATTATTACTTAATTATAACGATTATTACAAGATCACCGTAAATCAGCGACCATAATGACAAGAAAACGGTAATCACCAATTTTATTTGAACGTCATTTCAGCCCTTGGGCCATAGCGATAGGATCTATAGAAAGTTCTGAAACAAAGTCTAATCACAAGATATGATTAAAGTTTAGAATGGTACGCAAAGAGTATTTCTCTTTATTGTCCCAATAATAGTAATAATAGTAGCATTATCGTTACAAGTAACAATCTTTTAATGAACTTTATTATCTTCATTAGCTCAAAAAAAAAATTAGATTCTGAATCTCGTCATAATTACGTAATAGAAGATAACAGCAAATTACTTTTTTACTCATATATAGATTGAATACCCTTAAAGGACTAGGTAATCGGGAGTAACCGAAGTTAAATTCTTCAAACACATGCCGAGGGGCAACCCTAATTTCTATAATTTTGTGGGCCTTTACTAAGGTTATTCCTTTTATAAGCTTTATCGTTCGTTATCTTTCGGCAAAAGATAAGTAAAATAGGACTTTTATATACCGGTATATAGATAACAATCATCATGTATTGTATTACTTATTCTCCGGTTTATCTCAAAATTAAAAATTTTAATAGATTTACGTATCTCGGTTTAGATCTATAATTTCAACTATAATCTCTAAGCATCTACATACGTATGCACGTATGTACGTACAGATCATGAAAAATATTTAGGCCCAATATAAAATGCATAGACCGATGCGCAATGATGAAACTTGACAGATATATCAGTCAATCGATATGGTAAATATGGTAATAATTTAGAATTAGAATCAGAATCATTATAAAATGTAATAATGCATATATGATACGTATCAAATTTATACTATAAAATAAAATGAAAAAGTTGGATAATATACAGTATAAGGAAAGAATAATATCTATTATATACTTATCATTATTTTATCACATACTCGCGAGTTTATTATAAATTTAACTGCGGGCGATTTTTCACTGCAATACAGCAATACTGATATGATATTCAGTTTGATCGGACATTTCTTTCGCTAGTCTATCTACGAAAATCTTTTTTTTGGTATTCATTAATTTCATTAATATTAATATTACTTTAATAGTTATACCCTGGATTATGTCTTTACTAGAGTATCATCTCTTGTTTGTTATTTTTTAGTTATATATATTTTCATATTTTGAGCAAAATAAATTTTTTTTATATATGTTTCATACAGTACTACTGTATAGACTGTATAGACTGTATAGACTGTATAGACTGTATAGACTGTATAGACTGTATAGACTGTATAGACTGTATAGACTGTATAGGAGGTGTTTAAATTCAATTTAAAGACGTCATAAATTTTTAAAATCTAAACCTAGTTCTTTATATGGTTATACAGAAGATCCCTTTTGATATTAGACCCACGTGTGAACCACAGGAACTCTATCAAAAAAATCTAGACTGCTTATTATATAACTTAGTTGTGTATTACGTATAACAAATTAGAGTCTTGCATGTGACCATTTCAGAATTTATGATACATAAAAAAAATATATGGGAAAAAATATACTGTAAAGTACATCATAACTTCTTAAAATATATGGGAAAAAAAATATATACGTACAGTACATCATAACTTCTAAATAAATAAATGTTTATACATATTTAAATAAATTGGTTGTTATTAATACTTTATTATTATATATACCAGTTTAGTTTTAAAAAAGAAATATTTTGTCACATTCCATTTCATGTAATAAAATTAGTAATGTAGATCATTTTATATTTTATATCCTTTAACTGCGGATCACCACCCCCTTAAATGTTCTTAATGTTCTTAGCCGGAATAGCCAAGTCACCTACACGGTTTGTAAGTTCATCAAACGTGTCATCTTCAATTAATGAAAGAAATTTCGCAAGAGCGCTAGATCCTGATCTCAATGGAGGAAGGGTTGGAACGTTATTCGACGCGTCATCTTCTATGTTCTGTTCAAAGTTATCAAGTGTTGTTTCTTCTTTCTTTGAATTAAATTGAATGTTGAGTGCTGCGTATCCTCCTGATTTATCCAATTTTTCTATCGCTGGTTCATATTTTTCGAGTTCTTGAAGTAATTCTTTATGTTTTTGTAACTCATCAAGATTTAAGAAATAATGCTCATCAGGTAGCGCTATGAATTGTTGTTGGATTAGATATTTCTATTACCAGATGTATAAATGAAAAAAAAATAAAAACAATGACAAACAAGGTGCAATATGACCTAATTGAGTGAAAATAAAAAACTAAAAAAAAAAAAAAAAAAAGAGTGCATGGTTTTTAATATATCCGTTCAATACTATTGTGGTTACCATTGTTAAAAGCTTCCGAGCTGCTATATCGCTATTCTTGGTAATAATGAAATGTAAAGGAATTAAATGATTGATTTTTGCGTATAACGGAATTAGGTCCGCCATGATGTTTGAATACTCGGCCTTTTGTTGCTTGGAAATTTCTTGAATTAACGTGCGTTTAACTATAATGAAATTTTATTTGGTATCTTTTATAAGTTAAAACATATATAATTAATAAATGCTTCATTAATTTTTCTTACTTTCGGCATTTCGCACTTCATTGTCAATTTCGGTGACTCTTTGTGAGGCTTGTTGAAGTTGTTCTGCACTAATAATTAAAACTGTTTGAAAAGGACTAGGTAATATCGTAAAGGAAAGTGAAGAAGAGTCTAATGCATTAGATAGAGAAATAGGCTTTTGTTTTTGAATAAATGTCATTATAACGCGTTTTTTTTTTATTTTATCAAAATACAAAGTCAACGAAAAATCATGCAAAAATTCATTATTCGCAGATATTAAAGATAAGAGATCAATAGTAGACATAGTAGACGTTACACGGAAAACAGACTGATGGAATGATAAGATACTGATAAGAAGGTACCCGATTCTCACCCCTACTACCTTATTGTATAAATGTAAATGATCAACTATCCTTCGTAGACAAGTGCATTCATTTCCGACGATTCACGATTATCTTCTTTAACTATCAATACCAACTTATTTTTAGCGTGATACTTAATATTTTGGTGCATTTTTTTACTAATGAAGTTAGAGAGATATACTAATCTTTTTAACTTTATGAATATGACTAATAATTATATATTTTATAAAATTTATTATGGGTCAAATTAGTTGGAAATTTACTAATCATTGGTCAAATTAATTGGTCTTGCTAAATACAGGAATATTATAATGAACGTACGTATATATTAATGGCTGTGCTGCACGTGATACTGCACAATCAGATGCGACAAGTTTGATGTCATTGTGATTTTTTTGAGATTACAAAAAATTTTTCCGACCCGAATTACTGTAGTAACTGTTGGATGGTTGAATTTTAAGAATGAATTTGTTATAATTATTTATAATTATTTAGGTTTGGGCAACAATGTAAGAAGAATTTGATGATCCTCGGAGCGTGAATGTGTGTTTACAGTAAATAAAGATAATAATAATGTAATATAATTTAAGGGCAAAGTGTTATCTTTAAAACTATCAATATTCATGGGATTCTCTTGATTGATTTAGTCAATAAGTGATTTTATCAACAGGGGATAACTACATTATAGAGTACTGTTTTATTATGATGTACTTTCAATATAATAATCAATGACTTCATACATCTCTTGGTAAGTCTTTTTTAACATGAGAATCCAAATTTTCACAAATGATATCGAAGTTGCAAATTAGGAGATCAATCCGATGGTTGGCATGGTATTCAAGGTTTTTCG